CCCCCCCCCGGGAGCAGCATGGGCAGCGTCAGTAGCCTCATCTCCGGGCACAGCTTCCACAGCAAGCACTGCCGAGCCTCCCAGTACAAGCTCCGCAAGTCGTCCCACCTGAAAAAGCTCAACAGGTACTCGGACGGGCTGCTCCGCTTCGGCTTCTCCCAGGACTCCGGCCACAAGTCCAGCTCCAAAAGCAGCAAGAATGAGGACTTCTTTTACATCAAGGTCAGCCAGAAATCTCACAGCTCCCACCGGGCGGACTATACCTCGCTTGCCGGCGGGGAGCTGGGCAGCCAAGCTGGGACAAGCGGCATGGATTTCGGGACGCCCACGCCGCAGAAGCTGATGCCCTTCCCCAGTCAGCTGGAAGTGGTGAGTAGGGGAGACGGTGGCCCCAGAAGTTGGGGGGGTGTCTGCTGGAGGGCATCTGCCCTCGAAGCGGGTGCAGGTCCCACCGCAGGGCTGTCCTGGTGCAGGAGAAGGCTCAGAAGCAACAGTTTGTGCTGAGGAAGCGGGAGGAGGGGGGCAGCGGGGAGGTGCTGAGGGCACCCTGCCACCCTTTGCTTTTGGGGATTTAGATCAGCGATACGGTCCATATCCGTTCATTCCCAAACATGCCGTTCGCCAGCCAGCAGAGGCAGTTTTAGCTCTTCCTGAGCTTTCAGCCCTTGATGGAGACCTGAGCCATCCCCGCCATGGGGGTCTCATCCCTGGGGGTGGAAGGGATGGAGAGAACAGATGACGTGCTGTCGGTCTGCGCTGACGGGCTCTGCTCTTCTCCCCAGGGCACGGAGAAGCCGGCTGCGCGACCGACCGCCTTCAAGCCGGTGCTGCCCCGGTCCGGCGCCATCCTCCACTCTTCCCCGGAGAATGGGGGTCACCTCTCCCAGCAGCTGCACCCCTCAGAGAAAGCCAAGGAGCAGGAGCTGAAGCCGGTGCTGTGCTCGGGGGGTCTGTCCGACTCCGGCAGGAACTCCATGTCCAGCCTCCCCACCCACAGCACCAGCAGCAGCTACCAGCTCGACCCCCTCGTCACACCCATGGGACCCATCAGCCGCTTCGGGGGCTCGGCCCACAACATCTTGCAGTGCGCCATCATCCAGGACAGCAACATGATGAGCCTCAAGGCCATGTCCTTCTCCGACGGGGGCAACAAGATCCTCAACCCCAGCAAAACCCCTCACCACCACGCCACTGAGAAGACCACTTGCATCCGTTCACCCATCTCCACAGATGAGTCCACCATCCAGGAGCTGGAGCAGAAGCTGCTAGAGAGGGAGGGAGAGCTGCAGGAGCTTCAGTCGAGCTTCGAGGAGAAGGAAGTTAGCTCCTGCCAGGCTTATGAAGAGAAGCAGCGGCGCTGCAAGGAAGAGCTGGAGGGCCTCAAGCAGAAATGCAACAGCAAGCTCAAGCAAACCTCTCAGAAAACCCAGCGGACGCAGCAGGTCCTTCACCTCCAGGTGTTCCAGCTGCAGCAGGAGAAGAAGCAGCTCCGGGAAGAGCTGGAGAACCTCATGAAAGAGCAAAACCTGCTGGAGACCAAGCTGAGGTCCTACGAGAAGGAGAAGACCAGCTTCGCCCCGGCGCTGGAGGAGACCCAGTGGGAGGTAAGTGGCACTGTAGCACCAAGAGATATCTGGGGCTGCCAATGCCGACATTGCGTTGTGCTTGGAAAGCGTTAGCTGCGGCACCAGCAGTAGATTACGCAGCTCTTCTCCATTTCTACACCTGCATCCAGCAGCACCACGGAGGGTCTGAGCAGAGCAGATGGCGCACGCAGTAAGCCCAGGCTGTAGGAGACAGATATTAAAGCTGAGGAGAGCCCCGGTCTGTCACGTGGAGGCTCTGCAAGTTATAATTGAGTGACTCACTGCCCCTCTTAACCCCTCAGCACTTCACATCGTATAAGGAAACAACTACTGCATAAAATCCCCAGTCATTAAAATAACTTTGCATCTCCAACCCCCAGCGCAGGGTTCTCCAGGCTGCCTGCCCCAGAGGAGCAGTAAAGCTGCCTTCCCGTGTGTAAATAGGAACTGCTTGGGCTTGCCGTGGCCGTTTATTAGAGAGCAGTAAAACCTTCCACTCAGTGCTTAAGCGTAATTTTCTCACTGATTGGGTATCGCTCAACAAAGACCGTTGAACTGCTGAAAATTCAGAAGGGAGCCCGCTCACCCGCCCGAGTAACTCACAGCGGAATCGTTTCACTGCGGCTGTACAGGGAGAAGCATAGCTGCTGCCCGGCGTGCTTCGAGGAGCACAGTTTTCGCCTCCGCTCCCTCACACGCGAGGATTTCTCATAGGGCTTTCAGTATCTCCAGTTTATTTGCATTTTCCAGCCACCTTTCCCGGCTGTTCAAGAGCCCCACCAAAAGCCGCAGGGTTGGATGCTGAACCCCCAACAGCCATCCCGGGAAGCGGCTGTACCGGCCACGCTTTAGGCTCCAGCGGGATGCTCCAGCGGGATTTAGGTGCTTTGCTCCCAGCTGTGATTTCGCAGGGTGCAGCGGGGTGTCTGCTCACGAGACAGGCTCGGCAAGTTTAACTGACCGCATGAGCCATCAGCATCGGCCGTTGGGGTACTGAGACTTGAGCGCTTCCTCAACACTATTAGTGTCCACACCTCATTAAATCATTGCGGCTGTTCACCAGCAGCCTTCCTTGTTGGCTTGTTGGTGCATGGAGAGGGTGGGGTCCCCTCCAGCCCCCCCAGGGAGCCTGGGGCATTGGTCCCTGTGCTGGGGCATCTCCCTGGGTGGGATTTCGTGGCCGGGGTCTGCATGCCAAACGCCGGCTGTGCCCAGCATGGTTTGCGCGGGGTACCGCGGGTGCTGCGGGCTTTCTCCGAGGCTCAGCCCTAACTCGGGTGCTGCGTCCCTCCCCGCAGGTGTGCCAGAAGTCGGGGGAGATCTCCCTCCTGAAGCAGCAGCTGAAGGAGTCCCAGACGGAGCTCAACACCAAGACCACCGAGATCCTCAGCCTGAAGGCTCAGCTGAAGGAGGTGAGGGTGAAGATGGAAGGGCTGGAGATGAAGACCCAGGACCTGGAAGGTTCCCTGCGCACCAAAGCCATGGAGCTGGAGGTGTGCGAGAACGAGCTCCAGCGCAAGAAGAATGAGTCCGAGCTGCTGAGGGAGAAGGTGAACCTGCTGGAGCAGGAAATCGTGGACCTGCGAACAGAGCTCGCCGTCCTCAAGGAGCAGCTGAGTGAAGCCCGGGAGGTGGCCAGGCCCTGCGCCGTGGTGGACGATGCTCAAGCCCTGCAGGGAGAGGTGGAGAGGCTGAGGGCAGAGCTGAAGGCTGAGCGGGACAACAACGAGCAGATGACCTCCAGCTTCCAGCATGAGCGGCAGACGTGGAAGGAGGAGAAGGAGAAGGTCATTCACTACCAGAAGCAGCTGCAGCAGAGCTACCTGCACATGTACAAGAGGAACCAGAACCTAGAGAAGATGCTCCAGCAGCTCGCCGCAGGGGAAGACGGCAAGGAGCCCATCGAGCTGGACATACCCGGTGCCGACGTCCCCTACGAGGACATCATTGCCACCGAGATCTGAGCCAGGTCTTCCTTCTCCTGCCTGCAGCTCGGCGGCGGGCATCTCTTCCAGGTGAGAAGCGCTGCCCTGCGCCTTGTACAGTTCAGATGAGCCATGTATTTATTAGCAGAGCTGGTGGCCTGGCCAGCTCGCCAGCCCTTCTCCCCTCCCCGCGTCGCACCGTGGCGGTGCCCTCCGTCGCCTGTCGTGTTACAGAGGTGAACAAGCAACTCGTGCCAGTGGTGACGTGCCAGCCGCTCCCCCTCGCCCCCGCTGCCACCTCGCAGCATCCCTTCTGCCCCCTTGTAGGACTGAGAAGCTGGCGACGGGGGCGGTCAGGGAACAGGACTTCAGCAAATAATCTCCCATCAGGTAACGAGATGATGCAAAACTCCCAGGGGATGCTCTGCTCCGGGCTCAGAGGGATCCCATGACGGCACAGCTCTGGGGACGGGGACACCACAGCCTTTCCCACCATCTTCAAGAGGAATCGGCCACGGCACGTTTCCAGCCTCTCCCTGCCCACAGCCCGGAGGAAGCTCTGTGCTGCTCTCACACCTCCTTAACCTTCTTCTGGTCGGTGCCAACCTCCAGAGCACCACGGGATCGAGGAGCTGCCTCCTGCCGTCCGGCACCACTTCTCCCGTCCTTCGGCTGCTCTAGTGCCTCAGGAAGGAGCCAACCTGCACACACGCACACCCCACCTCGTTACAGCCAACACCCCCACCGAAATCACCTTTCACTAACGAGCACAGCCCACCCCGCACCCCTCCTGTCCCTCGGCCGCGGCGGCACATCCCTCCTCCTGGAGCGGCACAGCCATGGCGAGCCCGGTGTTCCCCCCTCCGAAGGACAAGGGCTCCGTGTCCCTTTTCTCCAGCTGCCAGACGGGCAACTGGATTTAAGAATTAACAGAAATTTCCAAGCCACAGTCCGACCTGAAGAATGGAGGGGGAAATGGGTTGTGTTTTGCCCCCTGACCCCACGTGCTCTCACTCACTGCGACCGTCCCTGCCGGGAACGCCGCCTGCCTTAGCTCCTCCCGTGCCCTTATGTCCGCAGGGTCCCGGCAGCAGGAGCTGGTTAAAAAAACCCAAACCAATCACTTTCATTTTGCTTTCTACCCCAGCTCTTAAAATTTCCTCCTGCCGCCAGCAAGTGGATAACAAGGCTCCACTGCACATCACCAGCGGTGACTCTCCTGTCCCCCCACGGGCCGGGAGGACATCCGCTGGCATCCAGCTTGCCAGGGTGGAGGTCTCCAGCCGGGAACACGTTGTGCTGGTGCAATGGTATTTTTACTGCAATATATTTGCTTACCCACTGGCGAGCTGGGCACCAGCCGTGGGTCTTGCACGGTCCCGAATCGCAAATTCGGCCAAGGGCTCCAAGCTGTGCACAAGCAGCAAAATTCAGCATCCCTCACCCCCTCCAGGGTGACACACAGAAACCAGTCTGTGCCTTCCGAACCTGCCCCCGAGCACCCTCCCACGCGCCGCCCCGGCGCGTCCTGGCC